GCATCTTCCTGTTCCTCTCCTCCACCTCCTTGAGCACTCCCCCTCCTCCTCCTCCTCCTCCTCCTCCTCCTCGTCCCCCTCCTCCTCGCCCTCCTCCTCCTCCTCCTCCTCCTCCTCCTCCTCCTCCTCCGCCTCCTCCTCTGAGGCTCCCCTTCCCGCTCTTCCTCCTGGTCCTCCTCATCGTCTGGGGGGCAGAGCGGAGGCAGAGGAAGACAGACGCAGGGAGACTGAGAGTGAGGGGAGGGAGGGAGCAGCGGCGAAAGAGTCAGTGCGAGAGATCCTGAGATCTGACGTTGCGAAGTACAGTCGGACATAGGCCAGAAAAACATGCTCCAAGAGCGTGAGACCCTCCGTCGGCCAAAACATACGAACCATCCAAGGATACCCTCCCCAGGATGCATAAGAACACCCAACAAGCACAAAGAACACTCGGGCACCCTCCCCGACCCGACCTCGATCTTCTACCTCGGTTCGACTGAAACTGCAACGACGCGAAGCATCTCGACCAAAGCCCCAGACCCCGTCTGCCTGCGGCATCCATCGAGCCGGGCCGACCCGTGAGGGCTCCGGGGCCCGACGAGAGAACGCCCTGCGCGAAAAGGTCGCAGCGCCAGGGCCTCAGGAGAGAGAGAGTCGGGTCGGGCGAAAGGGGGGGGATAGCAAAAGGGAGGTTTTGAGAATCAGCTCACGTAGCTGATTCTCCCGGCGCCTCCCGGCGCCGGGAGCGGCCATGTATCGAGGAATTGGCCCCTCGGTGAGGCCGAAACCAGCTGCATGCAGCAAATTTCGTAACCCCCCCTTTCCCAATCCCCCCCTTTCGCCCGACCCGAGAGAGAGAGAGAGAGAGAGAGAGAGAGCGAGAGAGAAACCCAGACCCCCGACGCCGTGGTTTCTCACAGGGCCGGCCCCGCCGAGGCCCCGGCCGCTTCCCTGGGACAGGCTATCCGCTCCGAGCCGTTGCTTCACGATCCCGAGGCCCAGCGGAGGCCCCCGGCGGCCGAGAAAACAGGCAGAAAAACCGCCGGTCGAGTTTCTGCTCGCAATGCGAGGGGGTCTGGGGGCAGGAGGCGGGCCCAGCCATCCGACGCTTTCAAATGGTTCGCTGCGGGGGCTCCCGGCCAAAGGTCAGGGTGGCTTCCTCGGGACCGGCTTCTCGTCCCAGGTCGTCTTTTGGATGGTCCCGGCGGGGCCCGAGGAGGGCCCCTGGGAGGCCGCCAACAGGCTGCCCCAACCCTTGCCGGAGCAAAGCGGATCTCTGGCAGGGAGGAGGAGGAGGAGGAGGAGGATGAGGAGGAGGGGGAGGAGGAGGGGGATGATGATGATGATGATGATGATGATATTGTATGATGATGATGATGATGATGATGATGATGATGATGATGATGGATGATGATGATGATGATGATGATGATGATGATACTGATGATTGATGCTGATGATGGACGACGACGATGCTGATGATGATGCTGATGATGAGGATGATGATGATGATGATGATGATGTTGACGATGATGATGCTGATGATGCTGATGATGATGAGGAGGAGGAGGAGGAAGAGGAGCAGGAGGAGGATGGAGGAGGAGGGGGAGGAGGGGAGGGAGGATAGAGGGAGGGGAGGAGGAGGGAGGGGGCGTAGGGGACGGAGGGAGGACAATCACCCAGGCATGAAACGTGCTGATTTTGTCGAATCGCGGTCCCTGGAAATCCCAACCCTTTCCCCAGGGAAGGCCTCTCGCCCACAGTCGTTATTCGACGGTCCCAGAGCCCAGCGAGGGCCCCGAGAGGCCGAAAACGGTTTAAAACCTCCCGTTCTGATATTTGCCACGACGCGAACATGTCTGGGGAGGAGGGGGGGAGGAGGAAAGGGAGGAGGAGGAAGAGGAGGAGGAGGAGGAGGAGGAGGAGGACGAGGAGAAGGGGGACGAGGAGGAAGAAGAGAGGAGGAGTAGGAGGAGGAGGAGGAGGAGGAGGAGGAGGAGGAGGAAGAAGAACAGGAGGAGGCCCCCCAGAGGAGGAGGGAGGCGGAAGGAGGAGGAGTTAAGGAGGAGGAGGAGGAGCAAAGGAGGAGGAGGAGGAAGCAAGAGGAGGAGGAGGAGGAGCAAAGGAGGAGGAGGAGGAGGAGGAGGAGGAGAAGGAGGAGGAGGAGGTTGGAGGAGGAGGAGGAGAAGGAGGACGAGGAGGAGGAGGGGGAGGAGGGGAGGAGGAGGAGATGCTTGGAGGAGGAGGGGGAGGAGGAGGAGGAGGAGGGGAGGAGGAGGAGGAGATGCCTGGAGGAGGAGGCGGAGGAGGAGGAGGAGACCCGCGACACGAGGACGGAGACGCGCGCGGCGGTGCAGGCGGGATCCTGCGCCAGGGGGCGTCAGGGATCGCGGGCGGAGGGACGCCAGCAATCGGCCACAGCTCACCGCCAGCCTCGGCGGGCACGGCGCGCGCGCTCCACGGGAGGAGGCAGGATCGACGGTCCAGGTGCTGCCAGAGGCGTCCCTGGGCCCCCAACCCTGAGATCCTGGCGTTCTCCTCCTCATCCTCATCCTGCACCTCCTCCAACTCCTTCTCCTCTTCCTCCTCCTGCCCCCACCTCCCCCTCCTCTTCCTCCTCCTCCTCCCCCTCCTCCTCCTCCTCTTCTTCCTCCTGGCGTGTTAAGTCGGGCCACGGGACCCTCACGGATCGATCGGGCTCAGAAAAGGCAGCCGAAAGGTGGGGTCCAGGGCTCTGGTCGTGAGCTGTTACTATGTCGTTGTTGTATCTTGTACGCGCCGTCGGGATCTCAGGGAACCCAGATATGCTCGCGTGTCAAACAAATCAGCACGTTGCATGTCTGGGTCTTCGTCCTCCTCCCCCTCCTCCCCCTCTTCCTCCCCAAGGATCCGTCTGACTCCGACAAGCATTGAGGCAGCCTGTTTGGGGAACCGCTTTTGGGCAGCGCACATAGGGGGCTAGGGGGAGGGGGGAAGGCTTCATGGCAGCACCCCTGTGACTTAGAAGGCACGGACCTTCTCGATAGATGCAGGGCAGGCGCATTCCAAGAAGCAGCCTCCTTCTAAGAAACCTTCCCCCCTCCTCCTCCTCCGCCTCCTCCTCCTGCTCCTCCTCCTCCTCCTCGTCCTCGTCCTCGTCCTCGTTCTCCTCATCATCCTCCTCCTCCCTTCCCCCTCCTTCTTCCCAGAGATCCGCTTTGCTCCGACGGAAACTGCGGCGGCCTGTCGTTTGGCGCTGTTTGCGGCCGTCCTGGGGCCCTCCACTGGTTCCGTGGGCCGACCAAAACGAGTCGGGACGAGAAGCCAGCCCCAGCAGACATCTGCCCTCGCGTTGTGAACACCTCACGACGAGAGGTCTGCCTGTTTCTCCTCCTCCTCGTCCCCCGCCTCCTCCTCCTCCTCCTCCTCCTCCTTACTCCTCCTCCTCCTCCTCCACCTCCTCCTCCTCCACCTCCTCCTCCTCCTCCTTCTCCTCCCCCTCCCTCCCCCAAACATGCTCTCGTCGTAAAAACAACGGGACGGAAAGCTTTTCAGTTTTCTCGGGGTCCTCGCTGGGCCCGGGACCATCAAAAAACTACTCTAAATGAAAAACCAGTCCCAGGGAAGGGGTCGGGGCCTCTGGGGGCAGACGCTGTGAAACAATCAAGACGTCGAGGGTCTAAGTCTCTCGCCCTCTCTCTCTCTCTCTCGCTTTTTCTTTCCTGAAGACCTGGCGCCGTAACCGCTTCGCGAGGGGGCATTCTCTCTCGCCCGGCGTCGGGCCCCATGGGCCCTCACGAGCCGGCCCGGTTCGATAGATGCCGCGGGCACATGGGATCCGGGAGCGGGTGGAGGGGAAAGAAGAGGTGGGGGGGATGGGGAGGAGGAGGAGGACGAGAGAAGGAGGAGAGGAGGAGGAGGTGGAGGGGAGGAGGTGGAGGAAAGGGAGGAGGAGAAGGTTGAGGAGGAGAGGAGGAGGAGGAGGAGGAGGAGGAGGAGGAGAGGAGGAGGAGCAAGAGGAGGAGGAGCAAGAGGAGGAGGAGGAGGAGGGGGAGGAGGAGGAGGGGAGAGGAGGGGAAGTAGGAGGACGAGGAGGAGTACGAGGAGGACGAGGAGGAGGAGGAAGAGGAGGAGGAGCAGGTGGAGGAGGAGGGGAGGAGGAGGAGGAGGAGGAGGAGGAGGAGGAGGAGGAGGAGGAGGCGGACGAGGAGAAGAGGAGGAGGAGGAGGAGGAGGAGGAGGAAGTGCAGGAGGAGGAGGGGGAGGAGGAGGAGGAGGAAGGAGGAGGAGGAGGAGGAGGAGGAGAGAGGAGGAGGAGGATGAGGAGGAGGAGGAGGAGGGAGGAGGCATAAGAAGAGGAGGACGAGGAGGAGGTGGAGGGGGACGGGGAAAGGAGGAGAAGAAGGAGGACGAATAGGAGGAAGAGGAGGGGGGGAGGAGGAGGAATAGGAGGAGGAGGACGAGGAGGATGAGGGGGAGGAGGGGGGTGATGGTGATGATGATGCTGCTGCTGCTGATGATGATGATGATCATGATGACGATGACGATGACGATGACAATGACGATGATGATGATGATGATGATGATGCTGATGATGATGATGATGATGATGATGATGATGATGATGATGATGATAAGGATGATGATGACGATGATGATGTGGACGATGATCAGGAGGAGGAGGAGGAGGAGGAGGAAGAGGACGAGGAGGAGGATGGGTAGGGGGAGGACGGGGATGATGGTGATGATGATGCTGATGCTGATGCTGATGATGATGGTGGTGATGCTGATGCTGCTTATGATGATTATAATGATGCTGATGATGATGATGATGATGATGATGATGATGATGATGATGATGATGATGATGATGATGATGACCAGGAGGAGGAGGACGAGGAGGAGGAGGACGAGGAAAGAGGAGGAGGAGGAGGACGAGGGAAGAGGAGGATGAGGAGGAGGAAAGAGGAAGAGGAGGAGGAGGAGGAGGAGGAAGATGAGGAGGAGAAGCAGGAGTAGGGAGAGGAGGAAGAGGAGGAGGAGGAGGAGGAGGAGGAAGATGAGGAGGAGAACCAGGAGTAGGGAGAGGAGGAAGAGGAGGAGGAGGAGGAGGAGGAGGAGGAGGAGAAGGAGAAGGCGGACGAGGAGGAGGAGGAGGAGGAAAGAGGAGGAGGCGGGAGACGAGGGGGGGAGGAGGAGAGGCGGCGGAGGAGGAGGAGGAGGAGGAGGAGGGGGAGGAGGAGGAGGAGGATGGGGAAGGGTAGGAGGAGGAGGGGGAGAAGGAAAGAGGAGGAGGAAGATGAGGGAGGAGGAGAAGAAACTAAACGAAACGGAAGACTCTGGGGGACCGATCCGCGAGTCAGCGCATCACGAACAAAAAGTTGGCCCCTGAGTGGCCCTTGCAGGCAGCTTCACTCGGCATCCAGCCTCTTCAGGCACGGCCAAGTGTTCGGGCCCCAACCCGCCCTAAAGCGCGGGCGTACGCGCTCAAGGGGGGGGGCGGCACGGCTCAAACTCACATACTGATGGCCAAACAATTCGAGCCCCTAAAACTGCACAACTAAAATACCTGGAACCGAGCTTTGGCTTCGCCCGAGGTTTTGATTTTGAAACATGCCGTTCCTGGGCAGTAGCTCTGCGGGAATCTCCAGGGACCCTTTCCAAGACCTGATTCGTTGCAAAACGGAACGACTGAGGGACCCCCGAGGACGAGGAGGAGGCAACAGCAGCAGCACTCGAAGGAGGACGAGAAGGATGGCGAGGATTGAGGGCCCCTCGAGCCGCCAGCTCGCGCAAGCGAGCAGACTGGGCCAGCACCGGCCGCCTCGCCACCTCACGGGCGATCGTGGCCACGACCCGAGCGTTCGCGGCAGCAGCCGCACGTCTCTCAGCTGCGTCCCCTCCCTCCCCGACCACAGCTCCACCCCACTCCCCCATCCCACACTGCTGCACAGCACTGCTTGCACTCTCACTCCTACCTACTTCGTGATGCGATCGAGAAGCTTGGCCGCATCCCGTTCGAGGGCCCCGCGAGGGGCTGCACTTATCTTCCTTTCTCCGCCCACCGACTTGGGATCCTGCACAGGAGCAGGAGGAGGAGGAAGAGGAGGAGGAGGAGGAAGAGGAGGAGCAAGAAGAGGAGGGAGAAGGGAGCAGGGAAGAGGTCGAGTCTTCTGCGGGGCACCCCCGCGCCGCCGACGGGCCCCGCTCGCCACCGACGGGGCACCCGCGCCAACGACGGGGCACCCCCGCGCCACCGACGGGACACCGACGGGACATCCCCGGCAACCGCGCGCCGGGGGGGGGGGGGGGCGGACAGCCGGCTCCAGCCCTTGGCCACGGCGGCATCATTCCTCTCGCGCGCCAACGCATCCTCGCCTCGCCCGCACGCACGACACGAACACGAAACCGAAACCAATTTCCAGGTGGGGGGCTCCCCGCTCCACTGCGATCTCCCCCCCCCCGAAGCATCCGGAAGCCTCAGAAACGAAGGGTTGGAGGGTTGAAGGGTTAACCGTTGGACTATGAGGTTGGGCCCCTGAAGTTGAATGGATGGGGGAAGGGTGGAATCTAAGGTTGAAGGGTTGACGAAGGGTTGGGGGGGGTTTGACAGGGTTGAGGGAAGGGTTGAAGGGTTGAAGGGTTCAAGGGTTGAAGGTTTGAACGGTTGAGGTGGTGGTTCGGACAAGGGGTTATCGTAAACTTGGCACTTTTCCCTGAGGGGCCTGGCGGGGGGGGGGGGGGGGGGCGAAACCCTATCAGTACTTGTCTGCTGCGCGGCACGGCAAGCGGCGGGGGCGAAGCGTTCACGATGTAGGCGGGGGACGGGGAAACACCTTGTAATTGAATAAGTTGTGAGAAAATCGACGGCGCCGATCCAAAATAATCGGTGCGAAAATCTCAGACCCTTTTGAAAAACGTGTGAGTGAACCGTGGGGAAGTAGTCTCAGGCTCATTCAGAACGAATTGCGAGGAATTCTCATACGCGGGAGGGGACACTGGTACCTCAGAGGAGCAAGGGCCATTAGTCATGATATCCCCACGCCTTGCAGGCCGAGAGTTTCCCACCCCACGTTGGGCGCCGTTCCAAACAGTGAGCAAAAGACGGGGAGCACAAAGATGAGCGGGAGGAAGACGGGGGGGACGGATGGGAGGACGAGGGCGGGGACGTGCATGCACCACCTGCAACGGACACACGTCGGACGGCTTTGCCGTTTGCATCCATCGGTTCACGGGCGAGTGCAGCCAAGAAACAACTGCGCGAGCGCCTGCCATGCCAAGCAATATCTTAAGGATACGAACCATTACAGGCGATAAAAAGCACATGCATGGCACATCGCGATGAATTTCAATCGAAACGACCGCAATGCCTCCCCCACCTGTATTTGGACATAACCGACGCGGGAATCAAGTGTGATGGGGTCCCACAAGAAGATGCTTCAGCCGCCCTCCTCA